CTATCACCAGTTCTCTATGTAGCATGGAATCTTAAGGAAAACTCCTTACTTCAGAAGAATTCAACTTGTACCTAATAAGTCATATGACTTTGAACAACGAACTTTAATTCACTAAATATTTTTAAGATGAAACAATAGGCTAGACATTCTTCTCTTGCTCTTACAAGTAAGGATTCCATGTGTCAGAACTCATTCATTCTTGTAATAGGCACATAATACAATCTACTCTATGTCTATCCTTCACCATTTCCTATTCATCTCACTGCATCGAGTCATTGCCGACTCATAGTGGACCCGATAGGTTGGAATAGAACTGCCTCTGTGAGTTTCCTTGACTGGTGCTCATTATGGGAGTTAAAAGTGCCATCTTTTCCAGAGTAGTTTTGAACTGCCAACCTTGAGCATCACAGTCCAACTACTACAACACTCATAGCAACCATATATACAGCAGAACAACACACTTCCTTATCGTGTGCCTTCATCACAATCATTGCCATTTTTTGAGCCAATTTTTCCATCCCCACTGTGTCCATCTGTCTTGTTGAGGAGCTTTCTCATTTTTGTTGTCCCTCTACTTTACCAAGCATGATGTCCTTCTCTGGGAACTGGTCTCTCTAGGATGCCATTAGGGCTTATGTTTTGTTTATGTCTCAGACATTTAAATGTCATCATTCCCAAACTGGGACTGAATGCTTTGACAGCTAAATTCAACAAAGGTGCTAAACATATAGCGTAGTATAGTGTGATTTACTCCCCTGTTTACTTCACCCTAGAGACCTGGGTGTGGGAGGAGAGAAACTGCCGCTCCTTGAGCATTCCCCTGCTTGCAGCACAAATCAGAATGCGCATCATGCTTGGCGTGTGTGTTGATAGTGAGACTCTGGGGTGACTGAGTGAAGATGGAGGATGACAGTTTGAGAGCTTAAAAGCATCGATTAGTTAATGTGAAAGAAGCTGACCTGCCAACTGACTCCATATTGTGGTATTGGTTTCTGAAATAAGAGCTTAAAAAGGGAAGGATATTCTTTCATTCTTGGTAGTGATAATTTTACCAATACAATAAGGGACATGTGTTGTTAGATACCATGAGTATAATGGTAAGACTCTTCCACAACAGGGACTACAGAGAGGAGAGTGTGCTACCAAATAGTGTTCCATGTTTGTCATGTGCGTTCGTCCCAATATTAAATATATTTGGAAGAATCAAAGTCCCCCGAGGGGACCAGGAACACATTTTTTGTTATACTTGCCATGTTGCCCATTGGCAGATTTTCACATTGCACTTTTTAATTAAGTGACAAAATAGCTTCAAATATATGTTCGTTGGTGCTAATGAAAATTTACACAAGAAACAAAAGAAATTAAATAGATGCCAAGACTATCATTTTACACTCTTTCTTCCTATATATGGAAATAAAAAGGTGTGAATTAAACTTCAAAGAAAAATAACTGTTGACTTACTGTTTGGAAATTTAAATACACTGAAGAAGAAATCATGTTTATAAATATAAAACAATGCCTTAACATGTCATTTTGACATGTAACAATGGCAGGGACTTGTATTATTTATTTATTTATTTGCTTATTTATCCATAGCATCTTGATTCATAGATCATAGCACATTAATAAATTAATGTTAGCTTTGTTTGTATTTTTGAAAAATGAATTCACATTGCATAAAGGAAATGAATATAAAATTTGTAGCTATTTTCCTATTATAAATATATTAATAGAAAAAAATGGGTAATAGTGAGGGAAAAGGACCCAGAAAATATTCTTTATACTTATTTCATTGTTTTCCATTTTTTTGGATGTCATTAGTGGTTGGCTAAGTTTATCAGATTTGTTGCACTGAGTCAAAATCTCAAAATCTCGTGTATCTGAATTAATTTCTCTGCTGTTTTCTGTTTTCCACTTCTCTATTTAAATATAGTTGCTAATATATGACAGTTTGTTTAATAGAAGATATTTGAAAGTTTTATTTCATTTTTAACTTGTAAGAAAATGTAAAAATAATGTAAACTTTATAGAAAATAAAGTCATTTAGTTAAAGATACTCTTGAACACCATTTATAATTTTAATACTGCTATCTTATGAAAAGTTCTAAACTTATAGAAACCAAAACAATAATAAACATATTATGAACTTTATGAAACCTTTACTGGTAAATTCTATCCAATATGTATAACTCTCTAGGAATTTACCAATATGATGCTGACCAAAATGAATCATCAGCATTTGCAAAATTCCATATATATATATACTCTTGACACTCAAAATGGCATACTTCTCTAAAGTACTATACTAATTTCCATTTCTCACTTTATATCTACCCCTCAGCAGCCAGCATGTATATTTAACAAACATTCAATCAATATTTAGTATTGTCATGACAAATAACACTGAATTATATTTTTTTATTATGTTCTATACTAACAAAATGGGCAATGTCACTGATACCAGAAAACCAAGAAATACAATTTTAATTAAAAATAAAACAAGCTTTTGTTTTTTCTTCTATGAAAGGAAGCGTGGTACTTGGTTTTATTGACTAATTTTTTACATGTCAGCTGTCTGAAACATTTGTTGATCAATTTGTTTGCTTTTTATGAATTTATGTGCCATACTTTATAGACATTTCAGAAATGAACTCGTGTGAGAATAGAAATGACAATCAAGGAGCTCTTGAGTTTATAATAGAGGAAGGATATATTTTGGTAATTGCCATTTATGTGAGGAGCCCTGGTGGAGCAGTGGTTAAGTGTTAGGTTGCTAACCTAATTAGGTGAGCAGTTCAAACCCACCAGCTACTCTGCAGGAGAATATCTGCACCCACACTGATGTAAGCCTCAGAAACCTTATGGAGGTTTGCTATGAGCTGGAATTGACATGGGTTTGTTTGGGTCTCTGCTGACTTACATACTAACCATGTAAATGATAAAGATCCAAACAATCTAGTATTTAGAACTTTATGAGAATTTTGTGATACAACATGTTATATAGTGTGCATAAAGCTGCATCCTTTCCCCATACATGTTTAATCTGTATCCTAAGAAAATAATTTGCTATGCTGTAATATATGAGTCAGAGCCTGGCATCAGGATTAGACAAAACTCATAAAATGTGGATGACACGACCTTGCTTGCTAAAATCAAAGGATTTAAATCACTGCTGATGAAAATAAAAGATTATATGTCTCAAAATGGATAACACCTGGGCACAAAACAACACTTCTCACAAGTAGATCCATGAGTGATATTATAATAAATGGGGAAGAATATTGACATTGCCAAGAATTCCATTTTACTTGGATCCACAACCAATGCTCATGGGTGCAACAGTCAAGAAATCAAGTGAAGTATTATTTGACTAGCAAAGCTGCGGCAAAGGAGCTATTTAAAGTGTTCTCAAAGATGTTACTTTGATAACTAAGGTTTCCTTGACCCAAGCCAGGGCTTTTTCAGTCATCTCATATGCACGGGAAAACTGAACACTGTACAGGGAAGATCTACGAAGAAATGATCATTATGATGTTGGCAAAGTCTGTTGATTATACCATGGGTTTCCAGAAGAGGGAACCCCTTTGTCTTGGAAGAAGTACAGCTAGACACCTGTAGAGGTGAGGATGGAGAGACTTTGTATCCCTTCTATTGGACGGAGTATCAGGAGTGAACGTGGCAACAGAAAACCACCAGGCTTATATGGATTAACCGACAGTTCTGTGGACTAACCTTCAACTCTATGCACTAACAATGTGTCTGTACCAGTGGCCGGAGCAAAGCAACATGATGTGGGTGGAGTAGCAGTAGGCAGTGTTTCGGTTCTGTTGCACACAGGCTCGTTGTGAGTCAGAACCTTCTGGATGGCCCTCATAACAACAGTGCAACCTAAGTTCCAATAGGAAGGACTGTGGCAGGAACTTTCAAAAAGTGTTATAATTTCCTGTAAAATTGATTACAAAGCACATTTTCAAATATGTGAAAGATTATTCCAATGGATAACAATAAGAAGGAACACCCCTTCTCCAATTTTGAGAGAAAATGCTTTCGTGTTATGTCTTAACATCTATTTGTTAAATCAAATAACATTGTTGTACACATAGCAAGTGCTCAATATATATCTTCCCGATGGTATAGACAGATCATATCATGCAACAAGATTTATAGAATAAAGAGAAATAAATAGCACTGATGGTAGGGAGAAAGGACTGTAAAAGTCTGTTTCATAGTGATTTCTCATTAATGATGAGGCTACTTCTCTACTGACTACTTAGCAGGGAACCATCTGATCTGCTCCCTGCAGTCAGTTTATTGATTGTGTGGGTCGATGTAATCTAATGCATAAAGAACCAAGAAAATGGGAGGCAGCATTTTCCTAGATAACTGCTAAGAAATGGATAGTCTACATTTGATGCATCCAGACTGAGTGGCCCCCATGTGAAGTTGAACTATTTGTAAAAAGCAAGACTAAACTGGCCATTCTTTTATAACTAGATCCAGCCCTTGTGAAAGATTAATTGGATTTATTTTTTAAAGGAAGACACATTGAAAAGGTATGTAGGCATACAAATCCCATTTGTACCAGTTGTGTTCTACGTATACATATCCATGTCAAGTTATAGGATCGTAGATCAATTTTGGGTCTTGATTTTCTATCTCCCTAGAGACTCAATGTTGACATATTTTATTGACCTTTTTACTTCCACCCAAGTCAAGTCAAAATGGTTATGACACCCACAATAAAGTAACACCCTCACTACAAAACAACAAAGTAGCCAACTGGTCAAACAACAACAACAAAACAAATAGTTTTTAAGAGGCACGCATATTTAATATGCAAAACCAAACCAAAAATATTTTGAAGATAATGAAGTTATTGGATTTAAAAGAGAACATTTGGACTCAACCATGGTTTAATCTCCTGCAGAAGGCCTAACACAACTTGGGTGTTCACAAATTATGTCTTATCTTCCAACCCAAGAGAGAAGGTTCTGCATTACCTGCCAAAGAGGGTCTTTCTGCTCTGGGAAGAGCTCAAAGTACTTGTAAGCTAGTTGCACTGGCGGCAGGGTCTTCAGTCTCAGATTGGTCCAGCTCTGCACGAAGTTGGCCAAGTTCACAAAAGTGTATAATCCTAGGCGGTCATTTCCATAGTTTGACAAATGGGTCATGAAAATGCTGATCTGAAAGATAAGTAAAAATAATTTTATAATTCCATTTTTTTTTCTCTAAAAATGGTAGCACAGGTTTTAAGTAGCACCTCACCTAACCTTGGAAATTCAAGGCAGGTAAGAAATGATCTTTTAAGGTGTAAAGGACACGTTTGATTTGCATTTCAACATCTATTACTTGCTCTTGAAATTAAAGTTGAAATTGGCATTTCCACTCTGCTCCCAAAAATTAGTGTTATTTTTCATATCAACTTTTTTCCCACTGTAGAATCACTCCCATTAAATCTAAGGATCTGAAAATTTCAGACTAATTAAAAACCAGAACTAGAGCAGTTCTAAAATTAAGCAAGTGTTCTATGTCTTTTCTATGTCAGATTAGAATTACATCTAGTCTGATGCGGAATGAGACTAAGGGAATTTATTTTTTTTGTGGTTTAATGATTTTGTCCCTACAATAAAGAGATTATTACTGTTTGCTCCCAAATAAATTATATTTAGCTAAAAGTATTCTATAGGCATTGATCTTTTTATAATTTCTCATACCTCAATATTAACTTCAATTGTGATATTTCAGTGTTATTCTTTCATGGATCAGAAAACAAGGAAAAGTGAAATCTAGATTAGTTTCCCTTGAAATATCATCAAAAACTGAGGAGGTGATTATAGACATACTCTAATATACAATATCTTAGGTATTGCAGCTGGATTTAAAGAATACTAAGCAATGTGTCAAAATTGATTTGAGGGTAGTGGGTTGGAAGTAAAGGAGAAATCACCAAATCTTGAGCTTGATTATATATATTATTTATGCAACTGATAAAAATCACCTTGTTTGCTACTCAAAAAAGCTTTTTATATGTGTTCCTCAAACTGATATTACTTCTCAAAATATATATTTTAAACATTGATTTTACTACTTAATTATCTAGATCAGTGCTTCTCAACCTTCCTAATGCTGCGACCCTGTAATCCAGTTCCTCATGTTTTGGTGACCCCACAACCATAAAATTATTTTCACTACTACTTCATAACTGTAATTTTGCTGCTATTATGAATTGGGCAGTCCCTGTGAAATGTTCATTGGATCCCCAAAGGGTTCATGACCCACAGGTTGACAACTGCTGCTCTAGATCAATAATGATCTCAGAACAACCTGAATCTGAAAAGAGTACCTCATTAGAAAAGTAAGAAAAGGTACATATCCAGCTGGACCACAGATAGGAACTGGAAATAAAGTGAACCAAGGACAGATGAACGCCCCAGGACCAGTGGAGAGGGTGGCGATAGCGGGAGGGTGTAGGGAAGGTGAGGGAGAAAGGGGGAACAGATGACAAGGTTTACAT